TAAGTAAGGTAGGTAGTAGTACTACTAACTACACTCTACTCTCTCTCTCTCTCTCTCTCTCTCTCTCTCTCTCTCTCTCTCTCTCTCTCTCCAAACCTTATCCCTTATAGAAATCTTAACTAAAGCAATGCATGAACAAGTTGAATCGAATTATAAATGACAAAACAAAGGACCGTTCATAAAAAATATACATTATATATAAATGACATATCAAAGGAAAATAGAAGAGAACTCTCTATTTGTAAAAGAAACCCATTAGTGTTATATGTGAGACAGATCCAAGCCACATATATCAAAATTACATGGAAATGCAAACGATTAAGCAAACTCAATACCAGAACTATTGCAAGACGGTGATACTACTTATATTGAGGAATGTTTCATGAATTAAGAACTTTAGGAGGTGCTCAACATGTTGTAGTCTGGCATGTGTCAAGATTGATTCGCACCTTATTGATACTACAGACTCTATTGGCATGAAGATTATTTACATAGCCAACCATCATTAACCACTTACTTCATGGGTAATTTTTTTGGTTAGATATGGAGGATTTGGATACCTAAAACACATTATTGGCTATGACGCATGGACACTAGAATATGTTCAACATACAAGAACCAAAAATGATACAACACGGATAGCAATACTAGAAAATCCCGGGATACTTGTGAATATAAAACAATATGGATATAAAAAATATAATATTAAAACGATAAGGATATAAAAAATATAATATGGACGAAAAATGAAAATTAAGTATTACGATATGGTATAAAAATGCATCAATATGATATATATATATATAGAGAGGAAAAGTCTTAAAAATGCCTATAGATAAAAATGAATAGTGTTTCGCCTCGCCACGGACTTGCTATGCCCATGGCGGTTTATTGAACGGACCCGCAACGGACGGCGCAATGTCTATGATGCTTCCGCATGAATTTTTTACCCCCACTGACCTAGCATGTACCGCCACGGACATGCTAGGTTCGTGGCGGTCGTTTTATCCATGCCGTCCGATTTTTTCAGACAGTGATGAGCCTATAGGCGAAATCACTGTAGCATTTCAACTACATGTATATACAAATAAATATATATACACACACACAAGCATGTGTGTGGAGGCGCACGCTTGTAAGTGTATGTATGTATGTAGGTATAATATAAACTACAGTATGTGTATTGATGTACCAGATAGGAAGCTTATATCCATATCTGGGCATCTTAGTTTGATGGTGATAGTCATCAGATCTCGGTCCCATCTCTCCAATTTCAGAAATTTGCAGTTGTGCAAAAGAGAACACCATGGAGAAGATAACAATATGATGCTTATTTGGGGGACCACAGGATTCACAAGTATCTAAGAAGGTATACATGGTTTGCCCCTCTGATGCATATGGATGAGAATTTGTCAACTCATGCATTTGCCACAACTTCCCAACTCCAACCAGGCAAATCATCAAATTTCAACAAATGTTTAACAACAACTGAGCTAAACTGGGCACTAGAAACATGATTCTTTGAAAGCAATAAAAAACAAAGAAAGATGTAAATGTCTAAAACTAGACAATCCACAACACTGACCTCTTATGCCAATTAATAAGATCATGCTGATTCTTCCCATCTTGCTTGTGGGACTCTGTTGGAGAAGCTGAATTATTCGAACCATGGTCCCTTGAATCATTTGTGGCACCTTATGAGAAGATAAGCAGTATATGAGATTGAGAGATAGGAGAGGGAGAGTTTGTCTTCGTAAATGCCTGTGGATAAGAGGGTACCACTATGCCTTTCATGCTCTGTGTGTGTGTGTGTGTGTGTGTGTGTGTGTGAGAGAGAGAGAGAGAATGTACACTCATGAAAAAAATAAAAAGAGCGTATGCGCATGAGGGAAAAGAGTATGTGTATTTTTGAGATACAAAAAGAGATTAAGAGCATGAGAGAGAGATGAGACTTGATCCATACTTTCATCCCAGTTAGAAAGCCATTATACAAGAAAACTGGCTCTAAACAGAATGCTGAGAAACATTCAAATCACCTGAAGGAGAAGTAGAAGCAGAAGATTCGGCCCCTGCATCATGAACTGGAAGAACCCCAATCAAGCCCTTCTCTTCTCTTTGCCAAAGCTCTTGCTCCACAAGCTTCACACTAGCATAGACATCAATGGTGCACCATTATCATTTCATTATGTCCAGAGAACCACCTAATATTATAGCAAATATTGCTGATCATTCGCCAAACCGAGGCACGCAATCACAATGGACATTATCAGCAAACTCTTAGAATTTATATATATTTCTTATACGACCATAAGATCGAATGTTCACACCCGATAGAAAAATACCACCAAACTTTTAAGAAAAAGAGGAGAAAATACCAAAGAGCAAGCTGGAGTTGCATTTCAGATAAATTTAATAGACCAATTGCTTATACAACCAAAATCAAATACATAACAGTTTAAAAAAATAAGCAATAAAATAAAAAATTTATTTAAGGAGAAGCAAAATCCCCCAAAGAAAAAATCAAGAAACCATTTGGCAAGAAGTGCCTCTTAAGATTTGAAGGAAAATTCTAATATAAGGAATATAACACAGAGGTAATCAACCTTGCAAGTCTTAAGTCCCTAAAGCAGAAAAAGACACCACAAGTAGTTAATAAACAAAGAATGAGATCCAAATTTCAACTCCAATAAGATAGAAAGTTAAAATAATGGTCAATAACCTGGCTTCAGTAAGATAAATCTTTCAAATCAACAAAGGATAAGTAACTGTGAAGAGAAGACGGTTCAAAACCATGACCAAATCCCATAGGAATAACAACAATGATAATGATCACCATTTGATTTGAACAACTCAATGTTTAAGTTCCACAGCTAGTGGCCCTACAGGGCTTTGTTTCAACCGTATTCAGATAATATGATTTGAAATTCGACAAAAATAAAAGAAAACCGTAAAGACAAACTGGGCAAAACCCACTAAATAAATGTTCTTAATTGTAATAATTGGGTCGACCTCTGTATTCAAGTTGTGTAAAACTCTTCTTTGTCTCGATCCCCAAAGTTTTCAGGTTCAAACCCAAATTACCCAATTAAAAGGAGGCGAAAAAAGGAAAGTTCAATTAAAAGATAGATTCGATCAAAGTTATCCTAAAATAAAAACAAAACAAGGAAATAAACCCAAATGGAGAATTCACCCAAAGAATGGAAAAGTTTATATAAGGTTGCAACCTTAAAATGTAGAACTACGGATGCACCTCAAATATCCATCGAAAAAAGTTGTTTTAACATTGAAAAACCCTCTAATTGATCATCTCGACATTGAGATGTATGACTATGAAAAGAAAAAACAAGAGGATTTTGAGTTCCAAAAATGTTGCATCTTACAACACATTATCTAGACCGTCCATTTTCAAGATTTTCATATGTTTATAGATCTATTTGATTTTAATCATATTTGGAGTTTAAAATTTCATATTTAGATTTAAAAATAGATTTGGAGATAAACTTAAGAATATTTTACATCAAAATTATATGTTATGATAAAATTTGGAGGTGCACCTCATATTGGATTGTTTAAGGTTGCAACCATATGGAAACCACACCCCCCAAATATTATACAGACTTCTCAATGGCTCCTAGAATAAAAAGTACGATATTAGATGAATAATTTTACTTTCAGGCTGGAACCCCAAGTCCCCAACTCACCAAACCAATATTATTTCAGCAAATTAGAAAATAAGAATAAAAAAAAAACACCAAAACTCAATCTTTGTAGCTTTCAAGACCAACACAAAGAAACACACACATAGGCATGAAATTAGTTTTCAGGCTCGACCCAACTCACAAAATTCAGAGGCAACTGGGTGAACACCAAAATACAATCAAATTGAAGTTAAAACGCATAGAAAATAAACTAGTTTTCGGGCCAGGACACAACTTACAATGTCAAATCTTCTGGAACAGTGCACGTAATGATGGGATCGCATAACCCAGTTCATCATTGAAACCCAAAAACGAAAAAACAAAAAAAAAGACCAAAAGGCTCAGACCCAACTTACAAAATCCAAAAAACAAAAAAGCAAAAGAAAATTCCAAACATCACATTCAGAGGCTACTAAGGAAACACCAAACACAAACCAAAAATGGATGAAATCACACATAAAAATGAAGAGAATTTTCAGGCCTGTACCCAACTCACAAAACCCAAAAAATAAAGAAAAAGAAAAATCAAAACACCAAATTCAGAAGCAACTAAGGAAACACCAAAACACAAACCAAAATGAAGAAAAGCACACATATAAATGAAATTAATTTCCAGGCTCGGACCCAACTCACAAGACCCAAGAAAGCCAAAAAGGAAAAGAAAATTCAAAACGCCAAATTCAGGGGCAATTGAGGAAACACCAAAACACAAACCATACATTGGTTCCATGAATTGAGGGAAAATAAATGAACGCCCATGAAATTAACCCCAGAACAAATACAACAGGTTTTCATGTAATGGAGATATCACCCAGAGAGAGGGAGAGATTAAAAATTAATGGAGAGTTAAACTACCTTGTAGGTGAAGTGCAGCGAATTCTAACGATGGAACCAGGAAGCAAGACCTTGTTCCTGAATGGAAGAATAGCCAGCCGACCGGGCAATTCAACCATTTCTGCCATTTCTACTAAAAAATTAGCAAATAATCACCAAAAAAACAACGCAAGTAACCTCCTCAAAACCGACCCAAATATATATTTACTCTCTCTAGAAGAGTATGACCTTCAAGGCCCCTCCCTCCCTCCCTATCTATAACTTCGGCTGGCCTCCAAGGGCGCGTCTCTCTCTCTCTAGAACTCTGGCCTTCATGGCCCCCCCCTCTCTCTCTAAATATGAGATGAGACGTGAGTTGAATGAAGCCACCTCCCACCTGCAAAAACTAAATACGTCACCTAATGCAAAGTTATTCTCAATTAATATCTGGTAGTTTGGGCATTATATGCTCCCGCGGGAGCAACTCACTCCCTGTGCTAAAACCCAATTTAAGATATCTTTGTGGGCAACAATTTTAGGGACGTAACGTCCCATCGACCGGCCTCAAAATAAATATACGGACATCGTGTTAGATTTTATCTGGCAATCCATTTTAAAATTTTCAAGAATTTATACGTCTATCTGTGCCATTTTTTGAACTTTTAAATTTTATAATTAATTATAAAAATAAATTTTCAAGTCAACATAATGATTTGTAATTTAAAAACTACATCTTGCATGATGTGAAGGTGTGTCTTACTTTGATTATGTGAAGTTGACGCTTTATGTAGAATATATATTATAATTTATTGCATGTTTAGATGACAATTAATTTTATCTAGAAGAAACATCTTATATGAAATAATGTGCTTTGAAAAATATTAATTTGTTCATTGTTTGTATTATACTTTAAGTAGTATTATTTAATTATTTACCGTTTGTTGCAATTTTCAGCTATTTCCGGGTATTGTTATGCTAAAAATATGTGGTTTCATCGAAATCACTTTGAATAAAGTAAAATCACCTTAAAAAAAAAAAAAAAAAACTTATATCAAAAACTACATGAAAGCGTACCATATATCCCCACCTACATATATTTTATTTATGTTTCTCATCTCCCAGTCATCCAATCTGGATGGATAGTTAAAATAGCTTCAGCCATAATGCCATGAGTAAGCTAATAATCATTTGATCTAGATCTAACATCTCAAAATATTTCTATAGTATCTTTTATATAAATCATATGAATATGAAATTTAAGGCATGTCATTATCTCAATGGGCGCACCTAAGAAAATATTTTTTGATAAAATAAAAAGACCAAAATATCCCTAATTTTCAAAGGTATTTTGGTCAGTTTATTTTGTCCAGAACATTTTTTATATTATTCATTAGTGCGAACTTAAGAGATGATCAAACGCCCCAAATTTGGAGTCAGTATTATTTCTATTAAAAAAAAAAAGTATAAGCTTGACATTACGATTGGGACCATGTCAGCCATCCATTCAAATCGAACGGCTGGGAGATTGAGAATATAAGTAAAATATATATGGGTGGAGATGTATAATAAGCTTCCCAAAGAGTATAACTTTATAATGCACACTACTAAATAATAGATAATTCACGATCAGGATTAACTTTGTCGAAAACAATGAATTATTAGTGATTATTAGTACATTCAAACATTATTCCAACTATTTGAGGTCGGGTATCTGAATCATGTTCTGTCATTTTACTCTATTAAAGGCCACACCCTCAGTCAGATCATAAATATGAGTACAAGATTCATGAAAATATATGGTAGAGTTTTACACCGGCTACCTAACACAACCATCCTCCCTTATCTGGTCTTAGGACTGGCCATGGCGGAGTTATAATATTGATGTTATACATAAACGATATATGTGTGTATAGGAAAAATAATATATTAAGAATGACCTAACCTATCCTATTTGTAGTTGTCAAATCTAAGCGTTTAAGAACTCAAAAAGTCTGACATTATATTTATGAAAATGATCTCTTCTAGTTCTAGACTCATTTGAAAATTCCATATGGTGCAAATCCTCATAAGTGAAGATCTTGTGGCGGAAGGTTGATAAACAATATGCTCCCGCAAAATAACCCTGAATTCATTCTAATCTTTTTGTCCTTGTTAAAATATTTGACAAATATCTAAACTTTTTACATTTGATAGATGGTGGATGTCTACAACTTGAGTCACAAATTCTCTCTTTATGTCTCTTGTACAAGTCAAGATTTTTAAGGTACAAATAAATGGGATCATATGTGGTCTGGTCACCACCCACCATCCAACAATTGGACGGTGAAAATTGGGGTAGCGGGGCCAGAGCATGCATCGACCTTGAGTTGGATGTGTGGATACAGTGAATATAAACGTAATCCGCGTAGTCTATTCAGCGTCTAAAACGTCTTTGCATTTTCTTGCTCAATATCCAATATCCAACTTTTGTAGGATGTGGTATAGAAGCCCTCAGTATAGAATGGTAGATAAATAATATTTTATTTAAATTTTCGTTTCTCGAATTAACCATGAAATTCCATTGTGTTTTTAAGGACCATGCGACATGGCCCAGCTGTGGCCCTCATGGGCGTCATTAATATTTGGATGGTGGATAGGAATGATATCTAGGCTTGGGTGGTCAGGATGGCAGGGTGTCATATCCTAACATCTAGACTATTAGTCCTACTAAGTCTAAAGTTAACATTCACAAAAGGGTGCGGTGTGGTTCAATTAAAGCGCACCTTCAAATTTTATCATAACATATAATTTTGGGGTAAAATATTTTTAGGATTATCTGAAAATCTATCTTTATACTTAATTATAATATTTAAAAATCAAAAAATGGTTAAAATCAAGTAGATATATAAACATATGAAAATTTCGAAAATAGACGGTCTAGATAATATGTTGTAAGATGCACTATTTTTGGGACTCAGGCTCTTTTTCTTCTTTTTTTTCATAATCACACATCTCGATGTCGAGATGATCAATTAGAGGGTTTTTCAATATTGAAACAACATTCTCCAATGGATTTTTGAGGTGCATCTATAATTCTACATTTTAAAGTTGCAACCTTATATAAACTTTTCCCCTCACAAAATAAATGCTGGGATGGGCCATATCTATTGTGATGTATATATTCCATATGCATTTTAAGGGTGACTTTTTGGAGAGAGCTTGTAGGATAAGACACCTAGTCAGGGTATTGGTATTATGCAAGGCAGAAGCTTAGGATAATTCTTTTTTTATTAGAGTTCATGGTGATATCCATGTTAATCTAATTCAGTCTTTTATTTGGAATGTTAATTATTGGAATGTTAATTAGTAAAGCAAATTCTTCTCGAAGTAATATGAGCCTTGTGTTAGTAAAGAATAAAATCTTACACACCTTTTGGAGCTGGCTATCAGTCATGAGGAATGATTTGGGATATCTAAAGTTGATGTTGTTCTTAATTTGCCAAATTTGATCAACATTAGAATCATTAAAGCAAGGCCTAAAGCTAGATGAGAACCACTTGTTTTTGGAAGTGTTAAATTAAAATTTGATGGAATTTCCTTTGAAAATCCGATGGCTGTGAGCATTAATGGAGTTGTTAAAGATCATGAAGGTTCTATCATTTTTTGCTATGTTGGACCTTGTGGTCATATGATTGCTATGACGCAAAACTTTGAGCCTTATTTACATCGTTTGAAGCTCTTACGGGAGAGACAGATTGACGGTATTTTGTAATGTGGAAAGAGATTCTCTAAATGTTATCAAATAGTGTAGGACATAATTCATACCTCCTTAAAGGCTCAATTCTTTGTAGTTACAAATAATGGATTGTTGCAATGTTTTAGAGGTTAGTTTCATTTATGTGTACCGGGAGGCAAATGAGATGGCGGATATTAGCAAAGCAAAGAATGCTTTAGGCAACCTTGTTCTTGATGTTTCTTTTTTCACTTTATTTGATTGTAACACAATACTTTGATCAATAAAATTCGTAATTTTGTCAAGGAGAGAGACTTAAGGATGTGGTGCGGCGCTGCATGGTGAAAGCTTAGGATAATTTTTTCCATTTGAAATTAAGGGTAATTGTCACACCTCAAGAATTTACAATACTGTTATTCCTGAGATGTGACAGACAAAACATATATACATCTATTGATAGGACAAATTTACAGTGGCGAGGTCTTACAAAGTAAATAAAGAAAGCTAGCACAACAACAGTATCTTCCAAGGTTGATCTTGACTAGCACTCAAAATGAATCTGCAGTTATCTTGAAAAAAATGTTTACCATAGTTTGATGAGTTTAGCTACTCAGTAAGTGATCATCATAATCTTAAAAATAATCATGATTGAAAGATATCAATATTTTCCAAAATGAGATCTATTAACAGAAATGCATCAACAACTTCACTTTAAATAAATGCATAATTAAGTATAATCCGAGTAATTAAAATGCTTATAACACTTTTAACGGCAGTGCATAATTCAAAGGATTTCACAAAATACCCTACTGGCGTCCCAAGTAGGTCACCTATATACCCCATCAGCGTCCTTATGGGTCCACTTAATCCCTATCGGCGTCCCAGATAGGTCCACTTAATCCCTGCAGGTCCACTTATACCTCACCGGCGTACCTGATGAGTCCACTTAATCCCTACCGGCCTCCCAGATAGGTCCACTTATACCTCACCGGCGAACCGGATGAGTCCACTTGCATACTTAAATTATTTCTAAATCTCTTTAAACATTCGAAAACAGCAATATCATGTACGCAACATATCACTGAAATCATTAATATGAATTTCACTTAAACCATTAATAACAGTCACTTTCTATAACATTTCAAAAATAACCAATCAAATATTTTGGGCTCAAATTTAGAAAGGTAACAGTTTGTAAAGGCATTCTAGCATAATTGCCAATTTAATATGTATAGAAAAACTCTTATAGAAATTCAAGAATACGGAATTATCACAATTTATGGGATATCAATCCACAAATAAACATTTCACAACAATACTATAATCAATTGTAAAAATGTCAATTTTTAAATAATAAGGCAGTCATTTGCACATGAATTTTACAATGTCTAAATATTCAAAACAGTAGAAAGAAATATCACAATTTTACTAAAAGCAGAAATATCACGTTTATTTCTAATAATTTGATAGTATCTAAAATTTTCTAACCATAGCCAAGAAAAATAAATAAATTTATTTTTCTAAGAATTTATAGCATTTAAAATTTCTAACATAGATA